GTGTGTGTGTGTGTGTGTGTGTGTGTGTGTGTGTGTGTGTGTGTGTGTGTGCGTGTGTGTTTATGTCTATGTGTGTGTGCATGCATGTGTACTATGTACACATTTGTTTATGCATGCATTTTTCAAATTTGTCTTCTCTCACTTATTTAATCTGTACTTTGAATTTTGGCCCTCCCACATCGACGATGCAATAATAACCCAGAAACTTCAGAGTTAAGGGAAACAAGGCAGAAAATCAATCAGGATCAAAAGAGAAAACTGTAACAATAACAACTTAAACCTTGCCCGTATTGACCATCATTGCATAAATGTTTTGAGAAGACCCCCAACGCAGGCGACATTTCAAACTGTGACGTCATCCCCTGCGTTGTCCACGATGAGGTCTCTACGCATGGTTGCAGGATGGGTCGTCTCAAAACACTTATATAATTTATTCTCCATCTTCATGAATGCACGAAGCAGATTGTGCAAATGCTAGGGAAATACGGAGTAAGATCTGGCTTGCGGTTTTCTTGCAAACATTTTGACAATTTTATTTTTGCTTTTGTAAACGATGAGATATAGCACAAACATAATGTTCATTTTAACCACTCAGATTTCTTTGAAATGGCCCCTAATCTATTTTTAGACGTTCGGAAAATTTTAGCCGCCCCGCAGGTCATGTGACTGCGTGGGCCTGCATAACAATGAGTCATGCGACATATTGCATAATTCTTGCGTCAGCCGCAACGCAGGCGGACGGAGTATAAAAGGTTCACGAGCCGCTACACAGGCAGATCAACACTCACCGCTACTACAAGAGCGAAAAAGAAGAAACTGCTGACGACGACCATTACCTCTTTGACAACGACAGAAATTATCCAAGCTGAGACCTGCGGAGCTGACAAGTTTTTCCATATCAGTGTGACGGCAAATAGAAGGCATATTATATTGCTACGGTGAGTTTGCAGAATTTTTATCGTCTTACGGGTCCACCACTCAACCCCCACCCCCTCTCCCCTCTCCCATCAGAACCCAGGCAGGTGCTTGTCTCCCCTTCGTTTACAAAAGTAAAATATATTTGTATTTGTTACAATTGCGATGTTTCAGTGCTTATATGTTTATATAAAGAGAAAGAGAAGCAGAGAGAGTGAGAAAAAAAAGCCAGAGAGAGAGAGAGAAAGAGAGAGAGAGAGAGAGAGAGAGAGAGAGAGAGACAGACAGACAGACAGACAGACA